ATAATCAGCTGATGGAGTGTAGATGTGGAAATAGCTGCATTCGATCAGTTGACTGTTTTTACAATAAAAGTAGTTTCTTAGTGAATGCCCTGTACTGGTCTTAAAATCTCATAACATCAGCTTTTAATGTTCCTCTTGGATGTTCTTCTTGACCCTCAGAGAAGGAGAAAATGTCCTGTCTTTCAGGCATGTCCTTTCCTAACAAAAATGACAGGAAACATAAAACATATTATTGCAGAACAAGTGTGTTATTTATGAAAGTGGTGTGTTTGTGTGTTTAGGGGCTGTAGATATAATTATTTTGTAATTGTAATGTTTTTTTTTTATTTCAACAATGAGCTACAAAGACAATCAGATTATGAATGAACAGTATGAAGTTCATCAACATTGAAATATATGTTATCAAAATAATATTGAACTGTTATCAAAACGTAGTAAACTGTAGAAGCTTGCTCTGTTGTCTCACTGAAAGAATAACTTTTACCACGTTTTTTCAGACAATATTGAGAGATAAATAGTAGCAGTTCTCACTATGTGTTAAATATCTTTGCCTTCAATACATTAAATTAGAAAGCTGACAAAGTCATATTGCTTGTTAACAATAACATCTAAATGTAACTTTTTGCATGGATAAAACCCTCAACTTAACTGATGTGTAGGTGATCTAGTATTTAGTATTGTTTAATGGAATGTATATCAGTGTATTCAAGTCAATACTTCATTCATTTAAACCAATATCTTTCTTGATTCTTTGTACAGTATGAAAAAAAGAGTCTTTGTACCTGTGCTGAAGTTCACTGCTGTGAGGAGTCCAGTTCTGTCTCTCACTCTCTGGTCCAGCCTGTCTGCATCACCTGGACACCTTAAACAAACAGATATATATGTATATGTAAAGTACCATGTGTACAAACAATATAACTGATTCTCTTCTGTTGAACATGTTGGATTGTGTATTGTCCGAGTCAGGGTCCTTTTTATTTTACTGTAACTTTGGAAGTTGTGTTACCAATGCTTACTGTTTATTTGATACCCATTTGGTAATGCAATTAATAAAAACAACAAGGTTTGGGTTCGTTCTTCAGATGACTGTGACGTTAACGTGTAAGCTCAATAATGAACTCCAGCTCAACCAACCATATTGTAATATCTAAGTAATCATCTTGAAATATGACATTAATTGTAATATACACACATCTTATTGTGAGGTTGATTTCACATACACTACTTCGACATTAGCTTGTCTACATACTTGAGCATAGCCAATTTAAATTAACCTTAGATGCATACAGTTCTACCTACATAATAAAATATCTCTCTAAGTTACAAGGATGACCTTATTTTATCAACCTCAAGCAGAAGCCGTTTGTTCTACAGTATTATCCCACTTAACGCTTAACACTTGTCTATTTCGTTCTAACCTTTATATACAGTCTATGATTTTAACTTGTAGGCTACGATTAGCATCGTTAGCCGATTAAAATCATTAACACATAAATAAGTACTCGAATTTCACTTACCGCAAAACCGCATTCATGCACCGTCTGTTTTAACCGCAGAGCGAGTCACAATAGTCCAATATATATAAGCATGAAGAACAAACAACCACGGCCGGCTTCAAGTTGTGTTCCCTGGATGAACTGAGCAGGCAGAGTCCCTGTAGCTAGCTTCACGGAGCAGGTAGCAGAGAGACAAGAAGCTAGCAGCAGCAGTCACTTGACAGAGCCGTCACTCAATGTGACCACGCCCTAATTTATGCAAACACGTTAAGACCTAATATAAATAAAAGGGTCGTGTTAGAAAACAATTCACTCACAGATCCATAATCATGAAGGTTGAACCTAACTATATTCATAATAATATTTATTGCATCCATGGGTAGAAACATGTTTTTTTCTGCTGTAAAGTTGGGCATTTTAACATGGGGGTCTATGGAAATTGCTCCTTTCTGCAGTCAGTCCCTATCGGCCAATATATGAACTGCAGTGTGTGGCACTTCCGTATTGGCGTCCCGGCTCTTCCCCAGAGTTTGCCGCTTGGTTCTACAACATACCGTGCAATGGCTTTATCGACTTTTCCCTGGCCAGCAGTCCCTTGGTTAAAATCCAGCCGCTGTTGCTTAGGTGGAGGTGGAGTGGCGTCGGCTGAGTCTGGATCTGTGCCGGTCTTAGTTACTAGCTTCGTCCCAGCATATTGTTTTTGCAGATGTTTTAAGAGATTTGAATTACTGGTTTGGGCAGTAGATAAGATCTTTGATCCGCCAGGACACAACTTACATTTAACAGAACATTTATTTTCTTTGTGCTCGACAAAAGTGAAATAGTGAGAATATCTCCAGGTGTAGAAACTAGACTTGAGCTCCGCCGCCGCCATGATAGTCTTGTTAGTAAACAACACAAACACGCCCACAGCCCGTCTCCGCATGTGACACAGGAAGTATCTAAGTACATTTAGTCAAGTACTGTACTTAAGTACAGTTCTCATATCTGTTCGCCTGGCTGTTGACTATATAAAAAAACTAACGGAGTAACGCACCATGTAGTAACGGTAACTGAGTTACTGAATTTAAAAAGTAATGCGTTAGAGTACTAGTTACTACCAAAAATAACGGCGTTACAGTAACGCGTGTAACGCGTTACTCCCAACAATGCATATTAGTAATGTCCTATTGTCACAAATGTGAACACTTAATTCAAAAATGTCTTTCATAGCCATCAGTGTCAGTTGTTGTGACCTGTTGAATGAATGGCGTTCCTTGATTACAGGAAATCTATTATCTTTGCCAATCATCTTCTATTAAATCCACAGCTAACTTCTGTCAATCGGACTGCAAGTTTCCAAGGTTTATGGACAGACTAATCGACACTTTTAAGGTCAAAAGAAAGAGATTCTCCAACTTCAATGAGTTGTGTTCCACTAGATTACCTCTTTGCTTCTGTCGCTGCCACTCTTCTCTCCATTGTACCTGAGATTGAGGTCCTGTCATAATGATGAAGACTCAACAGAGTGGAAGTCAATAAGCCTTCTCTCTTTCAGAACTTGTCTTTTCTCCCTGATTCTCTCGGTCTCAATTTTCCATGAATGTTTATTGCCAACTTAAATGCATGAGTGAATAACCTCATGTATGAAGTATCCAATACATGTTTAGTGTCCATTGCTGTCAAAAAGATACAGTGTTGTCTTGGTAACCTTCTGATAAAATACATGATCTGTAAATGCAAGACAACGGGTTCCAATGTTGCTCGGTTTGCAGTTTTTTACTGCTGTAGACCAGTATACTTAAATGTTCACAAAGCATTTGGGAAATAGGGGCTTACACTAGCCTATATTAGTCCACACTGAATACAAAGGCAAATTAAACATTGCTACTTCTGTTGGAAGTTGGTATTAATGTCTGCGAGGGCTGGGACTTAAAGCTGTATTATTGTTCTTCTTCTTCATTTTCTTCCTCTACTTCTTCTTTTTCATACTCTCCTGCCCTCCCCTGCTGGTGTAAACAATGCACGCAATCCCCCTGTAGCCCAATTTAAAACAGGCTGTCGATGAGTGGTGTGGAAAGAGGAATGGGGGCTGACGGTCCATGGGGGGATATCGACTAAAATAAAGAAATCATGGTCAGCACTGCTGGGATCCCGAAACAATAAAAGCAAGTGATGTCCTATCATGTGTAAATCAATAGTTAGCAAGTGCAGGGCTTATTTTTCCTGTCTGCAACTCTGGGTTGTTTGTTTGATTTCACCTTCATACTGACTCAGTGACAGAAATAAGACCGGGGAAAAAGAGCTCACTCTGGCAGCGGCATTGGGTCATGTTAAAATGAAGGAGAAGTAAGACGATTTAAGAAAGTAATAATAATAATAATAATTTCAATTTATATAGCGCCTTTCACAAAACCCAAGGACGCTTGTAAGCGTGTTTGGGGTGTGTGTTGCTGAGAAGATGGTTTGTAAAGGAATCATATTATTTTAACATAAGTTAAAAATTGTCTATAGAATTAAACGCTGGAACTCCGGCAAAAACATTTTTGTATTTGTATTCTGTACTTCTTTATTCTCATGTCAGCCTCAACATGAACTAAGTTATCTAAAGGAAGAGCACATCGATCCGAAGCGCACATAAAGAGAGGTGCGCTGTACACTGTATTACCTAACAGAACCATACCATTTTGTTATATAAGACAATAACAAATAACCTTTTTTTTTCCAGCATTGTTGTGTCAGGAACATAGAATCAGTTGTTGTACACTGACTTTATACCGGCCTCCATCCCCGAGAATCTGTATGTAATTGATTATGGCATGGCATTTGTGCAAATATATGTTATAATATGTATTTTTTTGGAAGAAATCTAAGCACATCTCTCATGTTGCTCCTTACTTAACAGGAGGCCTGGGGCTTTAGTCTGTATTTGTATTATCAATAATACTGGGTCCCAATCTGTGTGAGAAAGAAGGGGAAATGAATGTGGAGTGATTGTGTGATCATGTTTTCGTTTAATATTTTTGCTGGAATTAAGGTTTGTTGTAATGTGCAACTTGAAGTATTATTTGACTTGCCATGGAACCAGCAAGACAATCATCTTGGCTGAAAGACAAACACAATTAAAAACCACTTGCTAGACATTTTAAGTTGGAGGGTGGGATTTTTTTTGTATCTGTTACAATGAAATACCTTCAGTCATAGCTAGCCATTCTAGTCTAATTTGCAGAGCATCATACTGTGGAAATTGGCCGTGGGGGCAGAGGTAGGGCAGGTTGTTCTGCCCTTTTGCGTGCTTCGGGATCATACACACAATGTCATGGTTAGTGATCAGTTGCAAGGAACAGCTGACCTCCACTTCCCTCTTCCCTCAGTATCTCACTCAGTGTGTGTGTGTGTGTGTGTGACCAGTTTCCTTTGGTCTAGCGTCAGTTTACACAATTTCTTTCACTGCTACACTTCATAAAATCAAACATGAATCCAGATCTGTGTCAGACATTCTGAAATGCAATGGGAGCCACTCACCATTTTATTATTGATTTCATGAAAATGGATCTCGCAGACTTTCTCCACCACATCCTCAATTTCAAATGTAACAAAGCCAAAACCTGCAGAGGAGACAGATGGGTAGAGAGAATAATGGCAAGAGTAGAGAAAGAGGAGGCAAGAAATAGAAAAGGGGAAGGGGAGGAGGGCACACTTGGTCATAATTCCACAAAAGCATGATCCGCTACAGCTATCAGCACTCATATCTATTGATTAAGAGGTGGAAATGGAGCCTTTTACCTCACACAGAGCTTCCTCTGCTTCCTCAGGCTCACTAAGCTTTGGTGCAACAAAAGCTCTGTGGCGATCAAAATGATAGACATCTCACAATGGGACTACAATACTTTAGTTTAAATTGAACTAAAAACAGAACAAAACAGCTATAGAGACCATTGAAGTTCTTAGTTTGGTATATAGAGTGGTGCAGGAATGAGTCCTACAACCTGGAAATGAGTTTTATCGCTTCTAGTTCCCTGATTTTAGTCACCTTTGTTTAATAAATTAGTTATTGGTTAGATGCCTAAAATAAGATCTGTGGTTAAAACAAGTTAAAGAGATTTTCCCGTATTGTTCTACGACCTAAAATACTTCAGTAAATACCCCACTGGGGAATGTCTGAAGCCTCTATGCGTGTTAAAAACAGCAGTTGCTAACAAGTGGCTAAAGTCAGCCATTTACTTATCGTTGGTGACACCAACGGGTATCATAAACGTCTGTTTGCAAAAAACCTGAAATTCTGAAATCCAATGGGAAAATCGCATTCCTTTTTAAAGGTTTCCCTTGCGATGCTTTTTCCCTTTCTTGTCTACAAAAATAAATCATCACTACACCACTCTATAATGTGTTTGCTTTATTTAAGTAGAGAAGCTAACCAGTTTAGGCTTGAACTGATGGCAAATCAACACTCTGACAAACCAAGTAAAAGGGAAGGTCAGTAATACAAGGTAATATAGTGATTTACCAGCATTAGCTACACAGGCTATTTGAGATTCAAAGGAAATACATATCAGACATATTGATAGTTGAACACAGAGCAAACCCACAAAATGTATTTCTTGAAATGGTATGTTTGTATTTCTCCTTTATTGTACTTGATTTGTACTTTACTTCTGTACATCTTAGAATCATGTTGTCTTTAGAGAGTTACCTGACACAAAATAACTTTTTTTGGGTTACCAATATATATACAGTCAATTTATAATGACAATCAACTGAAACTGACTTATCCTTTCAAAACATTTGAAAAATAACATGCCCCCGAAGAACAATGTTTCCGAGTTCATGCCCTTTTCACTTAAATGCACAAATTAACAGTTTGAAGATTTTTAACTTTGCTTTGGAGAGACTGGGAATGTGCATCTGAGAGTAGCACTGTTTACACTGAGAATGTTGGAGGGAAATTCCATCCTCCCAATCTTCCATTCCTCTATTCAGTCACCCTCTATTGCCTCTGTTGTAGCAGTCACAGGAACACATGCACATCTGCTGCAGCTACAGTGGGGCAAAAAAGTATTTAGTCAGCCATCAATTGTGCAAGCTCTCCCACTTAAAAAGATGAGAGAGGCCTGTAATTTTCATCCTAGCTACACTTCAACTATGAGAGACAGAATGGGGGGAAAGAATCCAGGAAATCACATTGTAGGATTTGTAATGAATTAATTGGTAAATTCCTCGGTAAAATAAGTATTTGGTCACCTACAAACAAACAAGATTTCTGGCTCTCACAGACCTGTAACTTCTTCTTTAAGAGCCTCCTCAACTTCCGGAAGATGGCGACGTGAGTAGCATCACTATCTTCTACCTCTCGCAAGTTGGACACAATAAACCCTCATAAATGCTCAACTCGATACCTAAAACCAGGAAATGAGGAGAGGGATCAGACGAAGTAGCCGAAGAAATAACAGAAAACAAGAAACAGCGAAAGATCAACCAGGAGTGACAGAAAACTCGAAGCAAGAAAACAACGGACACGAGGACGAAGAAGCTAAAATGACGGAGACGGGCCATTCCGAGACACAGGCTGGCAACTATCTCCAAAGATATAAAATAACTCAAACAGGAGCTGCGACAAGACCTAACACATTTTAAAGACGAACTAAAAAGTGAAATAAAGGAGGAAATCGCTAATCTTCGGGAGGAAATAGAGCGAAAGTTTACAGAGAATAATGGTGAACTACAGACGCAGAAAACACACATGACCGAGGCCCAGGCGCGCATAGCAGAGCTAGAGGAGTGGCAGTCGGAGGCGAAATAAACAATGATTGAAATGTCGAATCAGACGCACCAGATGCAGGAAAAAATGGTGGACCTTGAAGGAAGATCAAGGAGGAATAATATCCGAATATTCGGGGTGCCAGAGGAAACAGAGGGGGAGTTGGTTACCAAATACGTGGAGCAACTCCTGAGCACTGAGCTGGAGCTACAGGAGGGGAACGTTATTAATCTCAACATTCAAAGAGCGCACAGAGCCCTCGCTCAAAAGCCGCCTCCGACCGCTACCCCCAGTGGTCAATTTCCTGCAATTCGAAACGAAAGAAGTCATTCTTAAGAAAGCATGGCAGAAGAAAATTAGTGTAGGGGGCAAACGCATATTCTTTGACCACGACTATGCAATCGCAGTCGTCCAGAAAAGAAAGTCATATCTGGGCATCAAGAAGGTATTGAAGGACAAAGTAATACGTTTCCAGACACCACTCACTAAAATACGCATTTATTGGGATGCCGGAGTGAAGACCTATGACGACGCCATAGACGCCGCCAGGGACATGAGGGAGAGGGGACTCGAGATGGAGGTACCAGGCAGAGCCGCCGCACCTGCGGAGGAGAGGAGGGCACAACCGGTCTGGCAACGAGTCAGGGGAAAGGAAGGAAGACACGACTCAGCGCGCCGAGCGAGAGACATTTTGCAAAAATGGAAAGCGTAGGACTGTTTTGCTTGAATAACTTTCATTGAGGATTGAAGAAATATACAGGCTTTTTTTTGTATTGTAACGGATACCAACGGAGAGAGGTAGGCCAGTGTTAATGTTGGACATGCCTAGACAGCACGTAACCCCACGAGTTGGGTATAGTCTCAAGTCTAGAGAGGGGCCCTCTTACGAGAGGATTTCCCCTGCACCCACCAAAGGGGAATTGGGGATGTTAGAACCCCAGGGTTGGAAGCCTTTTTTGTTTTATGTTTATGTGTGTTTTGTTAACGACTGTTTAGCCTAGAGCTCCGAGGGAGCATACCAGAAGAATAACCTACCAATACACATAAATGGTTAACACTAAGATACTGTCGCTAAATGTGAATGGTCTTAACATACCAAAGAAGAGAGAAAAGGTTATGACAAAGTTGAAAAAGGAAAATGTGCAAATTATATTCCTCCAAGAGACTCATTTAACATATTTGGAACATGAGAAATTAAAGAGATATGGTTATAGACACTCATATTACAGCTCCTATAAAGAAGGTCACAGAAGGGGAGTTGCAACGTTAATATCAAACAAAATCCAATTTGATTATGATAAGGAAATCAGGGACAAGGAAGGAAGGTACATTATAGTGAAGGGCAGAATAGAAAATGAACCTATAACATTGATAAATGTTTATGCCCCTCCTGAAAGCGATACATATTTTTTTAAATCTTTGTTTGATATTATAGCTGCTGAATCCGAGGGAATCTTAATCTGTGGGGGAGATTTTAATGTGGTGTTGAACCATAATATAGACACGACTAGTCTCAAAAGAACCAAATCGCAGTTATCTAGATTTGTAAACTTGTCATTAGGTGAGATGGGGATGATTGACATATGGAGAGAGTTACACCTACAGGAAAGGGATTACACTCATTATTCAGCAGCACATAAAGTCCATACAAGGATAGATTACTTTTTTATGAATAAGACTGATATATACAGAGTGAAGGAATGTAGGATAGGAGGGGCAGACCTGTCAGACCATAACCCATTATATTTAGAAATGTGTCTTAATAGTAGGAGACGAAATACAGTCTGGAGTCTTAATGTAGGACTATTAAACTGTGAACAGAGAAAGATTAGGATTAAGGCAGAAATTCAGAGATATGCAGAAGAGAAAGACAATGGAGCAGTCGACCCAACAATATTTTGGGATGCCATGAAGGTGGTCGTTAGGGGGAGGTTGATAGCGGAAACAGCATATATGAAAAGGATTAAATCAGAAACATTTGGAAAGTGTACGGAAAAACTAAGAGAATTGGAGAGGGAACATCAGACTACGGAGGATGCAATGGTATTGGGTCAGATAGAGTTGGTGAAGGCAGAGATAAATGATCTATTACTGGATGAAGTCGAGAAAAGGAACAGATATATGAAACAAAGCTATTATGAAACGGGCCCGAGGGCCACTAAATTATTGGCAAAACGAATACGCAAACAGCAAGCAATTAGTCATATACATAAAATTAGAGACCCTTATACAAACGAGTTATCATGCATACCAGAAAATATAGAGAACATATTTCTGGGATACTACAAAGATGTATATTCACAGCCTCCATCTGCAACAGAAGAAGAAATTAGAACCTTTCTAAATTCACTGGATTTACCATCAATTGGCAGTTTACAAAATGATACATTAACAGCTGATATTACATTAAAAGAGGTTATAGATGCAATAAATACGTTAAAAAATAACAAGTCTCCAGGTAGCGATGGATACCCTGCAGAATGGTATAAGCTGTTTAGAGATGAAATGGCACGGATACTCCTGGCATCCTTCAATTGGACTATCCAAAATAATAAGATGCCGCCATCATGGACTGAAGCAATCATATCAGTCATTCCAAAACCGGGAAGAGATAAGGAATTCTGTGGGAACTGTTGTGGAAATAATTATCATAAGACGCCAATTAGTAACATACAGGACAAACCTCGATGTCTGTTTACCTTCTTTAAGGACACAGGCGGCTTAGCCAATAATGTTATTGTTCCCATTCTGTGACCGGTCAATACTGGGATACAGATGGTCTGTGTTGTGGGTACACTGGGACACTTCCTTCTCTGTATTTGTGGACTCCAAGGTAAAATCTTCGAGGTC